GGTAACACTTTAGTTTAGGGAACACAATATTAGTCATTAATACATAACTAATAAGGATATCTATTAGTGCTTAGTAAGGTTTGTAATAAGCATCTGCATACATGTATTAGGTCTAAATTGAACACATTCTCATTTATGCTTGACAACTGGTTTATTCTTGGTAAATCCTTAGTAGGCCACTAGTTGGCCTACTAAGGATCACTCATGTATTAGTGGTTAACATTGTGTTCCCTAAACTAAAGTGTTACCGAGAAGTGCATAAGTCATTCCTGACCAAAACCCTGTGTGTTACCTAATGCGAAATCCATACTTTCCTTGAAATCCTCATATTTGTTTAGTAGTGGCAACTTGAGACAGTTAATGCATGTGTTTGCAGTGGGTAAATGACGGCCTTGTCTGAGGGGCAGCTCATGGAGAAAATCCACTGAAGGTCGCGGGTAGAAGCCCAGGGGTGGAATAACATTTGCTCCCGTTGCAAAGGATAGGATACTTCCAAGTGTCAAGGGTCCCTCTTGCTCTGGAAAAGAAATACACCAAAGACCACCCCAAAAAATTTAATCTAGCATGCTCTTTTAAAAAGGAGGGAAAGACAAAGACAGACAGAAAAGCATATGAAAAGAGGGATCAAAGTTAAAGGTGGGGTATGGAATTCTCTTTTTTGGCCATTTTTGCAAAATTACTTGAAATCCTATTCTATCCTACTTACAGCCATTGAGTTGGAAGCACTGAAATGAAAATGAAACAAGTCAATCATCTGTGGAACGGGCAGGGCTCGGAACTAATACAACTCAAACCACATAACTGAAGGAAGGCAATTTATAGTAACAAGAGAAAAAAGTAGTGTAGAAGTGCAGTATGTGCACACATATTCCATATCTAGCAATAATACCCTCAACATCCAGCAGGTAGTCCCTCCAAAATGGCACCACGCATTCCTCTGCTCTTCTTTTGTTGCTGCCCACTGCTGACATTCGAATTTCAAAGAGATGTTCTAGTACATCAGCTGTGAGAGGGGAGGGCTCGTGACATATCAGCGGCCTGAAAGCATCTGGGTGCATTCTTATTAAGTCAAGAACACCAAGGGTCTTCATCCCCTCCTTGAATCTGTAAAAATGTATCATGAGAAGAAACAAATATCTGTTCAATTTGGATAAATTATCGCACAATACATGAAAGGAATGACTTACAAGACAGTTCAGTGTTTTTGATTATGTAAAAAGGCCTTGTCTATGACAACTATCTGAAACCTGATGTTTTTTACAAGGGTTAAATTGAGAGAAAAACTTTAGCCTGAACATTTTTGATGGGGGGGTATTTGAACATAGGGCCCACAACCACCACCAGACCGAGACTATTGGGGGGGCTTCTAATATACTATACTCTTTGACTATATGTTATATTGCTTGAATAAGAAAAATCCCAAGCAGCTTACTACCATCACTTTGAAAACTTTTCTTAATTTACCCTACACTGGTAGACAAATAGAAAAAATATAACGGCATACACACAGTTTTATTACATTTCATTGTTTTAATGTTACAAACAAACAGGCTAATTGTGTGCCTGGGCTCAGGCAGAGTATTGAGAAAGGATATTTGGCTCAGGCAACAGGTGCATGCATTTGCCTTCTGATGACGACAAGAAGAATCACATATGTTATTCTTCATTATATTTGCTAAACAACAGAGATGCAAACCTTTCAAATGCTCCACTGACGCGATGGACCACCTGAAACATGATAATATCCTCCACAAAGAGGTCTTTGTCCTCTAGGCGTTTCAAGGACCTTAGACACCCAGCATTTGCCAGATAATCTGTAAGTGGTTCTGTTGCCTGTTGCAGTTCATCAAAAGATGTACATTCTGACACCTAAGGGCAACAAACAAAAATATG